ATCGGAGCTTCTCGGAGTTTCTAGGGGGAAGCGTTTCGATTCGTTGATCGCACAAGGGGTTAGCATACCACACATCAAAGACGAAGTGTGCATGTATGCTTTGCGAGAAGTGGGTGGCTGGTGGGCCGATTTGGATGTTTGGCCCTTGCAGGCGTGGGAGAAGGATGCCAAAGGCCAGGATGTGAAACTGTCCACGATCACGCTGCCGGCACCGGGTCTACCCAGCCCCAAGAATGCCGACCTGACATGTGGCAAGACCAGGCGCGCAATGTTGCTCCCCATCCAGTAATTTGGTTCCCCATCGGACATCATGAAGTGCGAGCTGGCTTTCTGTTCAGAAACCAAAGCTAGCTAAACACATCGGATTGTAAGCGGTAGGACCCGTGGTGTGGCAGTCGGTGCAAGATGAACTGCTTGTTGTAGCCCACCCGTGCCGAAGCAGACACCCCTGACTCAGGGCGCGACTTTCTTTGGCCGTGATGCACGCCGACCCTGGGCGGCGGCTGGGGCACAACTTCGCGAGCCAATGTTTCGAGAGCATCAAAGTTCTCAACGACAAGGCGACGGCACCTCCGAAAGACATGTGGAAGAAATGGAAGGGCTGGCAGGCCAACACCGAAGCGGTGTTGGCGGCGGCGCGGGAGTTGGAACTTCCGCTGGAACCCCCGCTAGCTTATTGCCCGCTGGGCAACTTTCTGCGCGCCAGCCCACATGCCGCTTGCACCACGCACTGCCAGGGATGTCCTGTGCCCTCTTTCAGGTCCATTCGCCACCATTCCCGCGTTATCAATTTGTGGCACGGGAGATGGCCAGAGGATTTGACGAAGAGTATCCGACAGAAAGCCAACGTGCTGTGAAGAAAGAAAGGTGTGTAACGTAGGACGTAACTTGAACATATGCCTTCTACTTGCGTGTGCGTTCGCAAGTCCAGGTTTTGTGCACTTTACGTTACCGGTCTCGGAACTGTTGGAACCCTGTCCAAGCGACAACAGACTTCGAAGAAACTTGTTGCCCGGGCAACATAATTTATTGCAAGAATCGTTGTCTTCCTCTGCTCGCATCGATGCACGTGAACTGAAGGCTTGGGGCCTCGGAACGTGATGCGGCAGCAGCTGCTCTTGGGCCGGCATGGGCCTCACATCCGCCCGGTTTTCAGAATGGAGGTATCCAAAGATTTTCATGATGGGTGTGGCAAGAGCTCAGCATTTCTCTGCCGCTTACGAAAACCAGTCGCTGATAGTACTTCGCGAGATCAAGACGAGCGTACTTCGCGAGAGCAATACAAGCGATACTGATAATTTGATTTCTGCAGCGCCGGTGGTTCATTCGTGCGCAGACATGTTTGCTATTGCAATCAATTGCCAGCAGAACAACCTGGAACAAGGATTGTTTTGTCATGTCGCAGCAGTAAAGTCTGCATACGATTCGTGTGCACAGCTTTTGTATGGATTCTCCACCCATCCTCCCGCCGCGTACTGCCGAGATCCGGAGCACATGTTTAAGTTTACAAAGTACAACAACGAACTTGCATGTGACGCAGGTGTTCACCAAGAGCCATGACTGTTTTAACCATCGGCTTTTCTTGGCTCCCTGTAGTGGTTGTCGCTGAAGTCCCAAGCCGTTTTTTGTTGCATCAAGTTTCGCACTGGAGTGGGAAGGCATGCGCACTGCTTAAGGCTTATGTGTTTGCAAGCATGTGGGTCAACAGTCTTGTTGAGTACAGTAGAGCGAACCTACGTTTCGAATGTGTTGGCCGCCTGGGGTCGCTATGGGCGGCGTGTTCCTCGACCTCTTGCAGTCGTTTGCAGTGCATGGCCGAAATCCCCGATGAGCTCTTGAACGTCACACTTGATGATTTTTTCCAGTTCTTGCAGTGTCAGCTGTGCTTGGAGGCGGGGTCAAGTCCGAAATGCAAAGTAACTACAGACGCAGTATGGTGTTGTTGTTTACAATTCACAGGCGTCGACATGCCTCGATGAAGAGTTGCAGCTTAAGGATCAGAAGGCTGTTGACGTCTGGCCGCTTTTCCGAACTTGGGCACAGCCAAATCTCGGCAAAAAGGAGAAGTGGGTTCCATTTCATACCGTTCTGGGACCTCACGAATTTTTCGTTGTAACACAGATCCTTCACAACGACGATCTTCCCTGGAACGCGTGGCAACGCTTTTTGGCTATGTTTGTCTATCGGGCACACTGCAAGGGCGCAGTGTTTCGCGAGGCTCAGCTTCCGAGAATGTTGCAAGAAGACTTTTGGAAAGACCCCGTAGCCCAGTTCGCTGACGACGGTGCGATGACCCAGGCCATGCTGGACTTCCGGCGCCGTACCCGTCAGCCTTTGCAAACTGGAGCGTTTCTGTCGATTCCACAACGGCTTTGCCCAGATGATGATGAGAACTTAGCCAGGAATGTGGCCCGGCGCACCCGGACCTTGCTGGAAATTGCCGAGAAGGTTTGGCCCGTTATTCAAGATTCTTCATGCAGCAGCTCGGAAAAGTTCCGCTGGATATCTGGAACAATTCGGTCGGCCCAAGGATTGGGAGAAACATGGACCAAGATGCTGATGGTCACGATGGATATCGCTTATCCAGACTTAAACCTGCTAGCTGAGTCCTGCAATGTGGGCCTTGGAGCTTTCAAGGCTTTCAAGCGCCTCGCACCTGACCATAAGAACTCGCCGAGACGCTGCCAACAGAGCCTTCAGAAGATCACTGCCGCGGCGAACCTGTCCACGTCCGATGCCGCCCTAGGCTTCTGGTCTTTGCTGGATGAGGTAGAAATCCTGGCCAGGCGGCGCTTTCCTGGATCCCCGTTGATACTGGCCCAGGTCAGCACTTCCCGTGGCCAGCTCAGCGCTTCAACAGTGCAGGTGCAACTCTGCGAGTGGCGACAGTTTCAGGATTTCTTGGATAAGCAGGGAGGAATCGACGTGCAGTCGGAACAAGCGGAGGCGACAGAGTTGACTGCCCACTGCAAGGAAGAAGATAAGGCAATTTTGGACACCCCCACAAAGCGGCCTCGGCTTCGGTGGGGTGCAGCTGTGAGCTCAGAGCAGTCGGAGCACCGCTTCCTTTCTGCAGCCACGGAGCTGCTGGAGACGCTGAAGCAGGAGATGGCGCAGGAAAAGCGTTGCAAATGCTTTTCATGCACCTTTCCAGCTGCTGCCATACTCTTCAAGGTTTGATTGTGCGAAGACAACCCTGTCCCTGCAGGTAAACCTTTCCATCAAGCATGCCCAAGAAGACCTGCGAGACTGTGAAGTGAGGAGGAGTCAAGCGGAGGCCAGGCTCTTGACCGCGATGCGAGCGACGAGCGATGCCGAGCTGAACCTGCGAAAGATCAGACCCAACCTGACGATCTGCGCACTGCTTGCGGAGCACGAGAGGCAAATTTCAGAGGTCGCCGAAGCCGGCTTGGCCAAACTGCAGGCGGCCTGCGATCGGCTCTCTTCGACACAAGGAATCCTTCACGTGGCAGCCACAAGCCACCACGCCAGCGCCTACGCTGCCCTCCCAGATGTGCCTGCATCCTTGGCCAGTCACCTCGCGCGCGGAGTGGATGCGCGGCTTAACCACACGCGGGAGATCCTCGAGAGCGTCATTCTGCGCCGAGACGCGCACCGCCAGAAGGTGCAGTCGGAGATCCTGGGGCCCAAAGACGCTTGGCTCCTGCTGGGGAGTTTCATGATGTCAATGTTTTTGTTGTGGGGGTTTCGGGATGACATGCTTGGGAAGTCTCGGCGGTTCGACTCGTCCCGTGCAGTGCAAGCGCGTTTCATGTGGTTATCAAAATTGTGATCCCTTTCTGGGTCCTGAATAGAATTCGCGACCTAATTTGGGGGTACTCGTACCCCCTAATTTCGACAACTACCCATATTATATAGTGACTGCTCTGTCTGAGGAGGCCTGGGATGCACGCGAGGCCGGCTCGGGCCGCAAGGGTGTGAGAGATTTCGCTTCGAAAGAGTTCCTTGAAGAGATATCTATTCGGGGTTCCTTTATGGGTTCCTCTAGAGGGTTACTACAAGGACGATAATAGGGGCTTAAAGTTTTCGGACAGGCTTTTGGAGTCTTGCCAAGTTCTGTGCAGGCAGAGACGGTTAGACATACGAGACACACAAACACAGACACGAAGGCAGGAGGCGTCGACAAATTCCTCTCCTCATGCTAGCATGCCAGTCCGATTCCTTGTGTTTCCACAGACGCACTGTTCATGTGACAGTCGTTTTCCACGCAGAAGACTGCGGCACGAGAGGGCATACCAGGGCTTTAAATCCATTTTGGCTCCTCGAGGGCGCCAGCGATTGCAGGCGCTCTTGCAGTTTGAGCTTGCCACGGCACGTGCTGCTGAGGCCGATGCGCAGGTGGGCTTTGAATTGTGTGTTTGGAGTTGGAGGTGCTTCAACTCATCCGCCCTCGTTCGCTCTGAATGGCGCCTTCCGATGCCCACGAGTTTGAGTGGTCGATTGTTGCAATAATCACGTGCAAGACTCAAAAATCAATTCCAACCTCAGCAATTCCGATGATTCCAGTGTCAGCTTGAATGAATGCATAGGAGCACCAAATCTGGTTTCAGATCCCGAACCCAACCCCCAGCTCTCGAAGTTCCTGACTCCAGACCTTTCCGACAACGCTTAGAACCTTGCCTAAACCCGAATTCTGCACTGAGTGTCAGTGTTCCCGTAGTCCCACGGGACACCGCACCTTAAATGTCCTTAGCGGGTCCCACTACGTGGTTGTTGGTTGTGGGGTCCCCGATATCGATGGAGCTTCGAGAGGCTTTCTGGGAGGCGGCTCAGCGGGGCTCCGTAGAAGCCGAGTCGCGGCTTCAAGAGCTCCTTCGGCGCGCAGAAAGTGTGGGGTAGGGCCTGGTAGGGTTCAGGGGCGGCTGATGGTGAAGCTGTGAGGAAGATGATGGCGGTGGAGGTGGCGGCTGGTGGCAGTCACCCCCACCCTCCAGCCTCCAGCATGTTCAGAACTTCCTAATATATAAATATGCAAATTATACGATATTTTTACTATAAGATATTATAACATACCAGAAGTTCTGATGTAGCCAAGAGGTAAGGTCGTCTGCATGGAGGTGCTCAGAGGCACCAGCACCCCACAACCGGGCCAAGGCTGCAAGTCCAGCGCTGTCTCGCTCAGGCGACGGACCTCGGATGTCTCGTGCTTTTTGTTGGATTCTGTCTTTGCTTTTTTGTGCGCTTTGCGGGATTTTAAGCGAGCATGAAGCGCCCCAAGTTCCGTGGCGCCATTCCGCCAGAGAGAGCCCCAGGTTACGCGATATTTCGGTTGAGCAGGGCAGGCTGGATTCAGACGGGATGAGGTAAAAACGAGTTTCGGAAGCATGCGGCTGAGAATGTTAAGCTTCTTTAATGCCTTTTGTCCGGTAGACTCTTGGAGTCATGGGTTGCGAGACAACGAGCGACTGCTGCATCACCGATGGTACCGGACCAAAGCAACAAACAAAAGCTTTGTGAAAGAGAGCACCTTACAAAGAACCGAGCGACATGAGGATGGCATAGAAGCATGAGTACGGAAGGCATGGACTAGGATGCGCTTCAGACGAAATCCTCCGTGCTTGTTTGTGCGTTCCTGTTGCATTTCCTGGCTCCCTTCTGTACATACTGAGAATCCCAGTTCCGCTTCGTATGTGTAAGTGTATGGAAATCAGGAGAATATGGACCTTGGCGTTCTCCAGGGAGAAGTTTCGTCCCGTTCTAGTTCGGACTAGGCTCACTACAGTAACTCATTGTGTACTCAGTTCTGTCGGGTGAGTTGCTTGTGCATCGCCTCGTGTGTCTACCAGTTGGTTTGATGAATAATTTTCGTTGTTTCCCTCACCCGGGCAGCAGTTGGGCTTGTTGTGCTGCTAGAACCAAATCGCACGGCAGGTAGAGGAGGTCGCGCTGGAGGAACTGATTGGCCATTGAGACTTGCTGTCGTGCTGAACGGAACAGTTGAGAAAACAGCTGCTTTGTGGACATGAGGACCAGCTTGCAAGATCTGATCCCTCAGGTTGTGAAAGCCCTCCAGCACGAAGAGCAAGCTGGCGATTCCGTGGGTGGCCAAGTCAGCACGCGTTGCTAGGCATTTCGAGCACGCGCGAGAGCGAGAGAGAGGATCACCCCTCTACGTCAGATTCACGCTCCTAGGACCAGCGAAAGAAATAGAGAGCGAGCGAGCGAGAGGCGATCAGCCACACTACTTACAGAGGGCCTCCCCTTGAGAGAAAAAGAAGCCTAGCACGTACAAGCGAATTCCTGCATGCCACAGGGCTCAAGGTTTGTGAAATCCATTCAGAAGCCGAGTGGGGATGACCTCGTAGCTGCCGTATTGCAGACCAGATTACATGGTATACGGACGAAGATTTCTCGGTCGATACGGCATGAAAGAATCATCCATGGGCCTCAAAAAGCTTCTCTCGAGTTCAAATGCCCAGAGCTTACCCGTCAACATGGCAACGGCCGCCTTCATCTTCTGATGAAACAGAAGCTCACCAAGGACGGGTTTCAACGGGTGTTTCGGATTGAGTTTAGGGTCCAGGGCCCGACGCCTCAAATCCCAGCCGTCTCGTAGTGATCACACTTTTCGATTCTTGCAGAGTGCATGGATGTCACGGCCAATCATGATATGTTGTGACGTGTTTGTGTTGCAAGTGGCTTTGGGTCGCTGCCATATGCTCGAGCTGGATAAAGACGACCTGCGCATCTGCTGTGTGAGCAGCACCAACTCTGAACATGGCTGCCCAGCTGAGTGGAGGGGCTTTCTGCGTGTGATTTCTGAGTGGGCGTGCTCGCGCCGAAGGCCGAAGGCCTTGACGAGCTAAGGCTCAATATCGTCGAGTTGCTGGACTGCTGCTCTTGGCAGCTGCATTGAAGGGCTGCTTTGCTGACACCAGCCTCGTTTCAGTGTCTTATCCTTTGCTGTGCAGGTTAAGAGCATGCAATGGCCGAGTGTGTGCTTCCAAGGCCTTGCCTTTCTGAGCCCTCCGGCGGTGACGGATGCATCCGGGCCGATGATTCAGATACCACAGCTTCTCCTTGCCGAGATTGACATGACAAAGCCCTATGAGCTCCTTTGCAGAAAGGAATGGTTTAGATATTCGAGGCCTTGCAGGGATTGACAAGGGCACTTGCTGTGAGGCCTACAGAGGAGCCAGAGAGCCCCGCGAACTCCATGTTTGCCATCACCTTTGTCTTCGTGATTTTTGCCTTTGTCGTGCCAATCCTGCTCTTGGGCATGAAGAGCCAGAACACCGACATTGCAAGTTCTGATGTTCCCTGGCTCGCAGCGGCTGCTCACGGATCTTGTGGGGTCAGCTAACCATCCCAACAGAATGTTAGAGTATAGTACAATTGACATGTGGGTAATTAAATAAATAGATAAATATATTAATATAAATATATATATATATACACATACTTGTATACATACATATGTATACAAGTACATACACGCATGCTGTCGTTTTTTCGGGAGCCGAGGAGAGAGGGAGGCTGCAGTGATGAACTGAAATGGCGGCACGCTGCTTTTCAGCGCGTGCCAAAGCCACGCCTTTGAAGTGAAGGGCTTCGTGCTCACGATGTCAGATTATGCCTTAGGAGCTGCGGCCGATATTCTGCCATTTCTAGGCTGTTCCACTGACATCACAAATTGCGATAGGCGGAAGAAGAAGTTTTTGTGCGCGACAGCAGCAGCAATAGTGCCGATCCACATGGAAAGCAGCAGGACCTCCTGAAGAACTTATGTGCAGAGCTACAGCCGCGTGGCTGCAGGTCAGCGACTCGAAGTTCCAAGATGCTCTGACTAGTGACTAGTCCACCTGAGGAAAGATGAGTTCGTTCCTTGACTTGCAGCCAGTCCGAGCAGACATTGGCCTGTCCCGCCACTTCCCATTCTCATGTGGGTTGGGAGAGGCGGGAACACTGATCAAGAAGCTGGTGGGCGAGCATTGGCTGGAGAAGGCAGGCAGCATTGAAGCCCACTCCATGCCAGTCGTGGCTGTCTCCAACATCCTGGTCGTTCCATCCGACTGTAGACTCTCATCACTGATTCTGATTCATCACCATGACCATGGTCTTCAGCATCATCGCCAACACGAGCACCTTCACTTTCCTGACCCTATCTTCGCTTTCTCTACTAACCATCATTAGCCTCATCATCATCATCATCATCATCATCGCCCTGAGTGCTTTTGTGGTGTTTTCTCCTCGCTTTCATCATGCCATGCCGAGAACGGTTGACAGCCCAGAAATGTTGGATGTCGGTCACTCTAGTCTGCGTAACTTGCTTGGAAGATTGTTTGCGACAAGACTGGTCCTTCCGTGCGATGCCGAGCAGTCAAATTGTTGGAGGTCGATGACTTGCGGTACGTCCCGTCCACACGACTAGAAGGCTGGGGCGTCCCGCTCAAGCTGACGCTTGTCGATGGTTCCTTAAGCGAGGCGGCACTGAGTGGTTACGGCTGGAACACAGGTGTAGCACTAGGAAATGCTGCGCCCCAGACTGGCGATTGTCCTAAATTTCAAGCTATCGACTGATGACCGATGTTGTGGTGCCGAGGACGGGCAAGCGTTATAGAGTTTTTGTACTGGAGACCCAACGCCCTCCCAGATACAGCTCTGGGATTTATCCGGTGAGCGCAAGCAAGTTTTGCCCGCTATCTCCAAGCAACTCCTTGGCCAGCAACGCCTCGCCACAACCTTTGGCAGATTTTGGGCCAATCCGGCTGCAAAGTGTTTTTGAGATCGCTGTGCGCTCCACAAGCACTCCCGGCTCTTCCGACGAAAAGCATTGGGCTACCAACTTCTCTCGGAAATTAGGCTCAAAAACTCCCGGCACGGCATGCGCCGTCGCTCGTCGCATGTGATTCTCTTTTTGGTGCAGGATCGTCAGGTGTTCAATTGCGCTCTGGAACACACGCCATTTGTTACCCTTATTGTCGAAGCAACTCTAAACCCACTATGTTGAAGTATGTTCATTCCTCCGGTAGCAGCGAAGCAGCAGCCGACAAACTCACACCTATGCAACCAAGGATAGACGAGATATATGACTTCTTGGCTGAAAACGTGTCCTGGCCGGCTGTGCCATAAGCGGAATGCATATAGCGCCAATGCCCGACAAGACTTCCGCAATCGTATCAGACACTCCATCCTTTGCCCAAGGATGCCGACGAAGGTGCCCACAGCCCCGCGGTTGCGAGTTTTGGTCAAGTAGACACTTGCAGGGACCGTGACGGACCGTGGAGTTCTGTGGATCTGAGATGTGAATGCCTACGTCAACTACACTCTTCGCCCGGCCGTGCAGGGCTTCACGCCTGCGATTTCGCGTCCTGGCTAGAGATGAAGCGTAGCAGCATGGGAGTGGCACTGTTCGTGGAGAGCGACTCATGCGTGAGGTTCGCAAAGTTACGCGATGATGCCGAAAAGCCCCCTGCCGCACCCATCCGTAAAGGTTTCGCATTCCTGCATGCAGCTATCTGGCAGGGTCCAGACCATGACTGTAGAGTACACACTTTGGGGGATGGGCCGGGTTACTTAGACGTCTCACATGGAAGCTCCGAGCGCCCAGGCGCCGACATCCCAAGACCTGGGCAGCCAGACGGCTGCAACACTGGTTTCGGAATCGGCACTCTTGATGCAAGAAGAGAACATAAGAGATTTTTGCCGACGACTGCGTGAAAAGCGTGGTCCGACATTTCATGGCAGCAGCCGGAGGCAGAAGCAGCGGGCGAGGCAGAGATCTTCAACTCAGCGATTTTCCGCACTCTGCGAATCCTTGCTCAGGCGGCCGCTCGTGACAGCAGCTGCCTCGGCAGTCTTGAAGCGGTTTGTCGTAGTTCTTGCCGTCTCAGATGTCTGTCGATCAGGATGATCAGGTTCTTTCCTGGGTCGAGGACGGAGTGGGAGGTGGGATGTGAAGGAGCCAGATCGACAGTGTTCAAGAGCCGCAGGACGGCGATTTCTTCAAGCCGGACTCGGGCAAGTCGAAGGATGCTCACGTCGTCGTCCATGTTCTGTGGTCGTGCGTTGTTGTGCATGCAGGAGTTGCGTGAAAAACGAGCCAAAGAATCTCTCAAGAAGGGTGTCGCCAGGCGGGGCGTCGAGTGTTGGGCCTTGGCAAGCTTCGCTGCAGCGAAAGAGGTGGCGGGAGCGCAAAGCTCGTGAGAAGGCTCAGGGAGTTCGAGGCCAGCAACAAGACAGCCCACGATTCTTCCCACGCTCATGCACATGCTTGGCAGCACTCGATTGGCTCGCATGGCAAGGTCCTCAAACTCGTCCTGCACCTGCCGACCCATTCTTGGCCAAGATCGCTGCAACGAGTTCGGCACCGAATTATGGATGTGCACCAACAAATTTGCTGGCAGCATTCGAAAGGATGCATTGATCAAGCGAGTTTCGGGATGGGTAGGGGTGATTTTCACTGACTCTACTATTGGGTCGAATTCGGAGTGGTGTAATGCCGGGGGGGGGGGGGCAGGGCAGCCAAGAAATTCTCATTAATTTCAGGCCCCAACACCATTCCAGCTTTCCTTGCGCAGCGAGCCGCCACAGCCTTGGCATCCATGCAAATCATTGACATAGTTTTGCCATGATGAGAAGGCTGCAACACCAAGAAAATGCGAAGTTTCCGAGCTTTTCAGTGAGCTGCTCTGCTGCAAGAATCAATCGACTTTGGTGTTTGTTCTCATTTGGAATGCTGTATACACAAGTTAAGCAGGTTTGGCAAGACGCTGAACCAATCGGACGTCTCTTGATTGCAACCTCGTGCATGATGGATCTGCTCCGACAGCATTTGTTTCTCATTGGTTCAGGAGGAATTGCGGCCCTATGTCCACAGGTTGGGTTTGGCAACAGCCATGTGCTGTTTAGTGAGTCCGCGTGGAAGGCTTGTCACCATCAACTGGCTGGAAGAAAAGGCAGGTGTGTATGAAAGTACCATGCACGATGCTGCAAAAATAAGGGGGGCAACTCCGTAGCCGCAGTGCCGGACCTTGCGGACAGGAGGATTTGTCTCTGGTGGAGGATCGCCATTGGGAAGCTTGGGCTATCCCGGAGAAGCTGGTCAGAAGCTCAAACTACCCCGTTGAGAAAAAGTGAAAAGCGCTGTGGTCAAGAGGTTTTGCGAGCGCATCATCCATGCTCCCACACACGACCATTCACTTCTCGCAGAGTCCAGTGATTCGAAGATCAAAGACTTCGAAAAGTCGAAAACTGGGTTTCGCTGGGCTGCCAAGGTCGTGCTGGCCAAGCAAGAGGCAACTTTGGGGTCAGCCGATGTCTATACTACCGAGAAGGATGTGGCTTCAGGAGTTTGAGTTTGAGTGTCGCTCTATAGGTCAGGAAATCAATACCTACGAGATTTTCGTTTGTAACGGAACAAGATGCACGATACCGCTGTCAGGCCGAGAAGACGGGCAGAGTGCTCAGATGGTGCTCAACCGTGTTGTCGAGTTTGGCACAGCCTGTTTTTTTGCTTCTTTCAGGTCCACCCAAAAAGACGTTCCGAAGAGATTGCCAATGCATTCTGCTGTGAAAGTGGTTTGCTCGTGGCTGAGCATCAAGGCAAGTGCTTGTTCTTTCCAGCCGCTTGTTTCCCAAGTGAAGGACTTGCACGCTGCTGAAGCGTTTCACTCCGAAAGGTGAGAGCTGGACCCCAATGAAAAGCGACTGCCCAATGCTCGCATGTCCTAGATGACCCAGTTGTTGGAACACTGTGCGAATTGATGCCGCGCTTTCGTGCTGTTTGAGAGTGTTGTAACACCCTCCCTGTTGCGAAACGAAGTGGTTTTGAAGTGGCCCGGAACTCTGTGCAGCGTACATGAACAGTTGAGAATTGCATGCGTTAGCATTCTCACTCACCTTCTCAGGAAGGATGGAGCTACCACAGGCTAATCTAGCACGAATGAGTCCCTGTATTGAGTTGGTTCGATGAATTTGTGTGCTTGGCAATCGTTGCAGAGCTCATCCAGCCCTCGTGCCCGGGCTGAGGACGAAGGCGCGGAGGCCGAGTCCCAGACAGTGCGCAGTCCTCGGGCTATACCGCTGGTCTGCCGCTGGTTGTACAGCTTCCTCCACATTTGGCAAAGGCCCCGTTTAGCGGTGACCTTGCCTGACCCAGAGACCGCGCGGCGGCTTGGCACCTTCGGATGTTGAATTGAATTGAGTTGCCTGTGTGATTTCCAGCGCTCCAATGCTTCGCTGAGGCAAAGTTCCGTGGCACCTTCCTCAGGCCAGTGAAGGTCTTTTTGGGCAACCTTAGTTCGGTCAGGAAGTGTTGAGCCTGGTGAGTGTGACAGTGAAACCAATCGCGCGCGAACGCTGCCATAGGTGTCCGGGCTCGCGAGTTCATCCTTTGACCCCAAACAAAGGTTAAGTTGCCCAAACTCCTTGGATCGGAAGAGCTTGCCGTGGCCTCGGGACAGCATGCCATCAGCCTCACATCCTCTTGTCAGTGTCTCCATGCCACTGTTGCTCGCCGGGTAGCTTCGATAAGCCCGAGGATCTTGTGAAGCTCCTGAGCGGCCAACTTCGGTCAACACTGGAGCCCAAAGCGGCGACATCGGGCCAGCCCACGCCCCAAAGCGCATTGATGTGTTGGGCTTCTGACATGTACAACCTCAAAGTTTCGGGGTGGGTTGAGAGTGGGCCTGCTCCAGGTATGACTCTGTGGGTCCTCTCTGTGCTCATGCCTAGGCCCTAAGACATCTCAGGACCCATAGTATAAGACATCGAGGTACACTGGCGTGAGCTATTCGTGATGCAATTAATGGCAATGGCTGAAGCCCCGAAGAGCCCACCCACCAAGGTGGCGGACTTGCTACTTGCAACAGGATGGCGACGCTCCCAGTTCGAATCGGCAAACTGAAGTCGGTTTCCATTGGGGGGGAGTGCGCTCCTTAGGTGAGTGTGCACTGTGCATGCCTTTGCTCGTTGGATAGTTCGGAAGCCTCTTAGACTAGAGACAGGGGGTTTCGAAAGCTTTTTGCATAATCAGGCAGACCCAACAATCACCATCAGCTGAAATTGCAGGTCCTGGCTGTGTCTAGTGGCACCTAGTACCGGAGGAACACCACACTTCAAACCCGGCTTTAGTCAAGGCAAGAATCCATGAATTTGTGACGCGGACTAAGGCTTTGCCAGGCAGAAATTAGCCCGGACCTGAAGTACTCAGACGATTGGATTAGAGATACTTCGAGCAGGTATCAGGCATATCATAAACGTGGCAAGATGCCACTGCGGAGTGCGCCACCGCCGGTTGGAATGGGGGTGGATCAGTGCACATAGCTTTGGCCATTTTGACCGATAGTACCAGGTGCCACAACCAGCCAGCACATGCAATGCGAGTTGCCTGAATGCTCTCTTACACGTCAACAGATGCTGTCGCCATGAAACGCAACATTGGTACGACCTACTCGTTTTAAATTCCGAGCGTAGCACGATGTGATGTACTCATTTCGCATTGGACATTCAAAACAGCATTTTCCAACACGAAAGGTTCGCGTGTTGCCGCAATCAAGTTGACTTATCAAAAAAACCTTGACGCAGTTACAAAATGCAAGCAGAAATAATGTGTATATGTATATATTCATACCTATGCATTCACATATACACATACAACATGTATATGCACTTAAGCTATTATCAGGTTATTATCATCCTGAGTGTCATTATGACCATTATGTTTATCATACCATTCTTATACTGTTGCTCGATTATGCCGTGTGTATAGTTACGGTCATGATTATTGTTATGATCGCTGGAGCTAGCACAGGCATCGAAGGAACATCCCGACTTGGCTGATTGAGTCGAGGCTGCTATCTTGGACAAGCTCGCCGATGCAGCAGCAAAGATCTCAGGACCTTTGAAGAGGGTATATCTGCTTTATATAAAGTACACATCGGCAGACACATACATATCTGTGCATATGTATATATATATATATACTTATAGTCCATATTGCATTATATGTGTATATGTTGTATACGTATACATATATACACTAATATGTATAGGTGTAAACATAGTTGTGTGTATGCATATGTGTGTACATATATATATATATATATCTATACAATATACACACACACACACGCTGTTGGAATCTCGAGGGTAAAGTAAGCAGTATGTCGATGCTCTTGTACACGCTCTTCTCACTTTCTCTTTGAACTTCCATACTGCCTCGAACCTCTTGGATTTGTGTGCCATCCGCGCCCGAGGTGTCCCCAACAGCTCTTTCGGATAAACATCCTTCTTGGTTGCTTGCCAAGGGGAATGTAACAGCAGATGCGAGGAATGGTGCTTTTGTTTCGGGTTTCGGGACAGCTTGCGCGAACGCCCAAGCTGTTCCGAGATACATGGTTTCTGGTCTCCACGGATAGAGCGCCTCTGAAGCCATCCAACGAACCACCGGCAAACCACCGCAGGCAATGGTACTGCCAATATAAACGAGGTAAATGTTACTTAGACGCAGTCAACCCTCCACAATCAGAGTTGACAGAAAAGCCCAGGTCCGGCAAGGACCCGCCTCCTGGCGTCCTTGTGAACGCGATGCAAGCCTGCTCCTGCCTCAGCTGCCCGATGAGTTGCAGTCCATGTGGGTAGCCACAATGGTGTACATACTCCTGCACTTGAGTGTCCTTCCTGTCGACTGTGTCGTTGTACGGGCTAGGAAGTCAAAAGCAACCAAGGAGACGGATGCACAAATAGCGATTGAACATCCATCTTCGGAGCTGATAAAAACCGAGTAAAGCGAGACCGTGGCAACCGTAATATACCTTGATGATCATGCAGGCACAGTTGTGTTCGGGCATTTTCCAAACCCTTTCCATGGCACTGTTCACTAGAAGTAACTCGCTCTTGGTGGGTTTCTGCCACTCCAATCCCTCTGGTCGAAATGTAAGCCTCACCCCAAAGCTGTAACCTTGCACCAGCCCATCGGAAAGTCACTGCAACATCATGTGCTGCGTTTTCTAGTATGTGCAAGTAATCTTGTGGCGACGTCGAGGCTTCGGCCGCGTTGTGCCTGAATCTCAATCTGCTGCTGATAGGAGCCGATGATACGGCTGTCCAGCAGTGGCAAATCACGCTGACAATCATCCTGGTAGACCTGCAGTAACATATGGAATCTTCCACAAGACTGTTTACTGCAAGGTGGAGCACCACCTCGTGTCACCGGGAGGTGCCCTCCCAGCACGCCACTTAGCCGACCTCTCCTGGTTGTGCGATGTGTCTTGGTTTTTTGTTCTTGCCGGAGGACCCGACACACTTTGACGGTGGTTCCCTTTTCACGATCGTGTGAGCCACAGTTTGATTTCACTTGCAACATAAAGTCAACTCCAAGTCTTTTTTTTGCGGCGCTGAGGATGTCATGCTTTGTACTCCCGGCATCGACTTCCAAGGTGCCTCCCCCCAGCGAAATCTGATTCACTAGATGCTTCGTTCTGACGACCAGATACCAGGTGGAGATTTCTGCACGATGGAACGTCTTGCGCTCAACATGTCCACTCAACAGATCCACGCATGCCGACCTTCAAAAAAAAACATGCTGTTTCTTGACACGCAGCATGTGGTGAAATTCCGGATGTGGAACTTTGGAATGATCTTGGATCATCTTGGATCTCGGAGGCGACGGCCAATTGCAGAAGCATTCTTTCGACAAGGGGGATGCCCTGATATTTCTGTCGCACGGCACCCATGGGCGGATTCCATGCGGAATGAACGGAGTGTCGTTGCTCCAAATGCTACAGAGGCACAAAGCCCACTGCGTGCAGCCCGTGACAGAGGGCCTGCGACAGACTTTGGTGATGGAGCTGTGGGAAGGCCTTGCCGCCTGATAAACGGTTGCGCCGGAACATGCCCTGGAGTTGAAGTACGCAGGTGAGGAGCGCCGTTGGCGCCTCGGTAAGTGCCGGCCCATGCCGGCCCGTTCACATCCGTTCATCTTCGACATGTTGTCACTACGTTCTTCAAGTTGTCCATGTCGATGTCCGCAGGTTGCAACCACCGCTGTCACCAGCGATCGGGGCCGTGCGAGGGCTTTGAAGGCCTGCCTTTGCTGCTTGCTCGTGGTCAGGTGGCGATTCCACTTCATCGCGTGTGCCAGGAGATGGGGCCGACGAGAGCTTGAAGGCAGAACAAGACCCCACCCTATAGCTATAGCCCTTATATAGCATATATCCCTATACCATACCCCAGAAGTTCCAGAATTGCAGAATGCCGTGCACCCCTTGTAAGCACCTCCACTTCGATGTGCTCCCAGCTCTGCAGCAAACGACAGGCAGACCAGATCGCCGAAGAGGGCCCAAGCGTTTTCGCG